CATGTGGTTGCCTTTCTTGTACTTCTCCAACGCAATGCGGCTAAACTACAGGTGGAACAAAATTCAATCCGAGCTTCAGTCTATCTTTGGGAATAGCTTCTCTGACAAGACCATGCGCCGATGGCGGACATTATACCAGTCCTCTTTGCAGAATTACCTCTTGCACCACAGCAGCATGATCATTGGTGCTACTCCTGGAGATGTTGTGGTCTTTGATGAGACAAACTTGGGCAGTCAACGGGGCATTTCGAAGTCATCATCATCTGGTCGTAGTTCAGAGAGAACAAAGGCCGTGACTTCGCAACGTGTGGCAAAGAGACTTCCAGCACAAACCGTTCACCGGCGTCCAGCTGCTCATTTGCGCCGGCCTGCTGCTGCGCCTGCGCGTCGGCCGGCTGCCGCCCCACTTCGCCGGCCTGCCGCAGTCATGAAATCTGTCTTCAACAAGAACAAGGTGGGCACAGAGAGGGACACCCGCTCCCAGGGCCGATGGCTCTTTGCAGCGGTTCTTGTTGGAAATAAGAAAACAAAATACACACATGAGAACGGAAAAAAACGGTTTTCCTTTACCCTCTTGCCAAAGCCTGCTTTTGCTGCGGATCACAAATCGCGGGGCACTGCTTCTATGAAGATTGCTATCCAATCGTGCATTGCCAAGCAGGCGTTTCTCGTGCACGACGCTTGGAAAGCATCTACTGCTGCCATCAAAAGTCTTGGGCTGAAGGCGGCTCCGTCCATCAACCACTCGACTGGTTGGAGAGATGCCAATACTGGATTCCATTCGAACGATATTGAGTCCGAGTTTTCCCGTCTCAAGACCATGGTGAGAGAGCGCTATGGTAGGTTATGCTTCCAGTCCACAGCTTCAAATGAAGCAGAAGACGAAGTAGATGTAGGGGATCTGTACGAGTACACGTTCAGAGTCAACATTGGCAACTCATTTCAATCAATGCTGAATGCATTTGTTTTGTCATCACCTTAGCGTTCATCTGTGTACTCTGTCTGACCAACGGTATGGGTATAGATTGCAATGCAATCTGCTGCAGTAGCTTTACGCAAAAAATGTCATGTCTTTAGCGTCTGCATCTGCAAGGTATGTTCTTGTAGTGGTTTCTGTATGTGTTTGCTTGCATGATTACTTCAATGTCATTTGACAACAAGCATATAGCTTTTTGCAGGTGGTATCTGTATTTGATTACTCTTGTTTACTTTGGCAGTTTGCATGTTTATAAACACTGACTACTGTTTATAAACACACCACTTCTTCATCGATGAAGTTACCTTGATAGTGACTGGCTCCAGCTCAAGTCTGTATCAGTGTCATCATGGCGCCCAAGAAGGTGATGTTTGTGGCTATGGGTTCTGAAGTAGAACCTGGGCGGTTTTCGTTGGATCTGCAGACGGTGGACCCTGTCATCTACCGCCCAGACCCAACTACTGATGCTGAGCCGTCAGTGCCTGTGCCCAACGCACATGAACTCCACCAGGACATCGTCAGTGGCCGCAAAGCAGCGTGTGAGTCAAAACAACAACGAACACCGAGACAGATTCAAGCGCATATTCACTATGTCCAAAGAAGCTTGAATTTAGCTCCTGGCATTTCTGGCCAGTGGTCTCGTCAAGCGCAAGATGTTCTCGACACGTGGCTCTTGAAAGATTTGAAGGGCGTGCAGAAAAGGAATATGTTGGCATTGGAGGACAAACCACCTGCTGAAAGTTCCTGCTCAAAAGCCGTTGGCAACATCGTTGAGAGCTCAGAAGCCCTGGACTCACAGCCAAAGGATGAGGATGCCAACATCTTTGAGGACCATCACTCAGAAGCCCTGGACTCACAGCCAAATGATGACAATATGATGGACGAGGATTGCGTCAAGGAGACAACCCCCAAGGATGGCAAGGCCAAGGTCTCATCTTCATCTTCTTCGTCTTCTACCTCCTCTTCCTCGTCCTCTGACCGTACTAAGCGCCGCAAGGTAGAACTGCAGGCTGCATTGACACATCTGAAGAACTTACAAGAAGTGCACCACCTTGAAGACATGGGCGGTTGTCTGCAAATGATTAAATCCGCCATGCAGAATGTCAATGCAGCTTTGCGCTTGTAGATAGCATGAACCTCCTCTGGCATGAACCTGGGCGTATGGCGTATGAAAGATTTCATGCAGTCTATGTGCAATGTTTTTGTGGAAGTATATGCATATATACATATATGGGCGCGTTTCATGGTATTATATCTTATCCATTACTTCTCAGGGGGCCCCGAAAAGCACGCGCGCCCATATATATATGTGTGTGCTCATTCATGGCGACCCCAACACCTCTTCTGCTTGGGGGTCTCGCCTGGTATCCGGAGGAGTGCCGCACCTTGGGCGAACACGACGCCTCGCCAGACGGCCGCTGCGCACGGCCCTGCTGCCGTTTTGAGGTGACCGTGTTGGGAGACGCTGGGCAAAAGGAGAGAGATGAGACGCTGGGCGTTTGGGGTGGAGACTTGGGTGGTAGATAGGTGGGATAGAGGGGAGACTTTGGTTGGAAGACCGAAGCGGTGGAAGATTTAGGAATAAAAGATCAGGTGGGAATTTCAGGGCAAACCATGTCCATGAGGGAGTCACTCTTTGGTTCCATCCTCATAGCATGCGGAGACGGAGAAAAAGCTACATGGACCAGGGCGGATGAGCATCCCAAGATAGAGTAACCTAGCGTGTTTTCTAGATCTGGTACGCGGGTTTGGGATGTGCAACTCTTTACGCCACCTGGTGAAGAGTCTACTTTAGGGACTGAACAAGGACGTCCTGAGGCTCCAGTGTATGCACATATTTCTAACTTCGACAACCATGGAGTACTACAAGAAGTCGTTGTCCAGCCGGCCTGTGCAAAAGCCGGAAGAATGGGACTGCCCTGAGACTTTTTGGGTTCAATTGAGGTTTTTTCCCCATCGAAGGTCAAACCAAAAGAGACCCTAAAGAAGTGAAGCCCTCAGTCAAACCCAAAGAGACCCTAACGAAGCAAAGCCCTAAGCAAAAACAACAGAAACCCTAAAGAAGTGAATCCCTAAGTCAAACCCAAAGGGACCCTGAAGAAGCCTGATTGCTCCGCTGCCAGATTGGTGATTTTTGTGGAAAAAAGAGCCGAAGTGTGCTACCTTGGGCTAGTTGTAATCGGTCTGTGTTCCAAAATGACCCGCAAAATGCTATAAGACTACAGTTTTGGAGACTTTTTGCTGAGTCTGTGCTCCAAAATGATCCGTTTTGCGTGTTCCAAAATGATCCGTGTGCCATGGAGCAGTGGGTTTGTTTTTCAAAGGCACTACTGGAATTATAAAAACCACGGATGAGCTGAGCATTCAGCATCCGCACCTTCTGTGAAGAATCATTGCCCTCATAACCTTGAAAATCTAGGAACCAAATGATATCAAATGAATAGTGTGAGCGCTTCTTCAAGGAAGCCTCCCCCGCCCTCAGGCGGGGGGAGCTTCCTTGAAGAAACATGAGCTATCCTGCGTCCCCCTTACTGAATTATGTAGACGCCTACGGGCCCCAAAAAACAGAAGCAACCTTGTTTTTTGCTCATGTTTGCTCAGGCGCATGATGTGGATGAATATGTATTGGAAGAGGCGTCCTCTCATTAAACAAGGATGTCAACCACTGATGCATTTCCAGTGGCGCCGGGCCAAGGTGGATAACCTTTGCTGAAATTCTGAAGCTCGGCACCTCTTGAACGTGTGGAAAAGCAGTCTTGTAGGCCCTGGCCGTTTCAGGGTACCAAGTTGATGAGAAGACCTGCAGGAAGAGAGAGTCTGTACCAGATGCTGCTGGATAGACGGTGCCTGATTCCCAAATCCAAAAATGCGCACATCTCTGAACATGTCCTAGTAAGGCACTTGTTACTAGAAGCGATGCACTTGTTCCTAGTAGTAAGGCACTTGTTACTAGTAGCGATGTCCAGTGTTCCGTTGGGATGATTCAGACACATGTGCATGTCAACAGCTAGCACTGCAAAACATGCACACCGGTGTTTATAGCACGGTGAACTGATGCAGTAGTCACACCTCTTCAAAACGGGCAAAAGGGAACCCTTTTGACAAATTGACAAGATGTATTTCTCAATGAAGTGGACACTGCCGACCAGCCAAGGAGATACGACTGGTTGAGAAAGCTGTAGAAAGCCTTGGCATTTCCAAGAGCGCCGACACTTGGATCAGTTTTGTTTGTTTGATGCTTTTGTGTCTTTCGTGACCTGTGTGGAGTTCCGGGATTATTCTTACCTTCGACTGGCGATTCATTGCCTGGAAATCTTGAAGAGCGGTCCACACCGAACGACCGCACCAATCAGCCAAACGAACCGTTCCTTCATGCTGTTGGAGGTCGTTTTCTGACAGTGAACTACTCTTGCCAGGTGAAAACCAATCCTGGAACCAAGACGGCGGTGGTCACGCATTTGTCCAAAGTGAAGCCGGATAGCCGCTGGGATGGATTCCTATCTCCACACTTCTTCTGGGCTGTTGGACGGTCAAAACTAGGGGCCTCTCTAATCTGAGACAGCTCCCTATCGGCTTCTGTTTTGGGTTCCAAATCTCTATGAGGACCTTTCAGCACCAATATGGATATCATGGTGTTCATCCACTCTGGTCGTACACTGAGCAGATCCCATAAGTTTGTCTTGACTTGACCAGGGCTACTGGGCCGTTGCCACAGAGCTCCGCACTGAGCAGATCCCATAATGCAGAACACTGTGTTTCCTTCCGGGGTTCCGGTCTTTGAGGTGAAAGGCGTGGTGGGACATGCCGCATAAGAGTTTCTTTGGTCGGAAACTGGCCCAGTGGATCCCAATGTTCACTGGAAATTCCCAGCCAGGGACCTTGTTTTTGCATGGTGGTTTTCCCCGAACCTGCCACCGGAATGAAACAATCATGTTCAGATCATGTCGTCATTGTTTTGGTGGGGAGAATGACTGTGTGTTTCTGCCTACGTGTGCCTGTGGAACCCAAAGGTTTGGTGGAGGCTATGAATCGATTGATGCTTGGCGCGCGACGCTTGGACTAACTAGAGAGCATGAAACTGCTGAGGTCTCCGGTATTTACGGTATTTAGTCGCAGTAATTGGTGTTTTGGGATCACCAAGCTCTTTGAAGCCATGAGCATCCATGAGCACTCTGGTGTTAAGCATCGGCACTTTGTGAGTGAAAGACTTGACATATATATATATATTTGTCTTTGGCAAGCACAGAAGATGTGAATGATGTGAATGGCTGACCGTGGAATGCCTCGAGGAATTCTCCAATCTGGCGGTGTCAAGAAAGATGATGGTGAATCATTCAACATCTTCAAAGAACTGAATAATGCAGAGAGTGTCTTGGACAGTTTTCTTCGTGCCGCAAAGTTCATAGCCAATGAACTTGTATTGGGAACTCCAACAAATGGGCTTTTAGATTGATCTTTTAGATGATGTTCCTTTTACCCTGCCCTTCGATGGGGTAAGGTAGACCTTATATATAATAACTGCGACACGACAGTCGATGTTCCTTTGACCAAAGGCTTGTCAACATGAGCTTGATCATGTTACCCACCCAAGCAGATTTGACCCACCAGCAGACCATGCCGAAAGTCCTTCAATGTGTTAGGTCATAGCCTTGATCAATCTTGATTTATGAAACTGCCAGTGCTGTTTAAGGGGTTTCCCACGTTGAAAGAGTCCTTGATTCAAAGTATAGCACCGCTGACATGTTCTGCAGAATTATATATTTGGAACCAAGAATGCAAGACACACACACATACCTGCACATGTTGATCTACATCCCGAACCTTGTCTCGTAAAGCGGTATACCGTGACGCAAGTGGCTCACCCAACAAGACTGGATTTGGACCGTGGAGGTTTGGTTATGTTGGTCAATTCGGGGATCCTGTCATAGGACAAATTCAAAGGAGAACTCTATGCCTTTGCAGGGGACTCCTTGATTTTGCACATGCTGTTTTCAGGTAATTTGTGCCGAGTCTTGCTGATGGTCCAAGGCGCGACATGGTTTCAATGTCAAGCCTTTTCACATGCGTTTTAGACGGCTCAAGGGTCTCTTGAAACGGGTCTGGTTCTGGGCCTGGTTTTTGGGGATCAGGTGGTTGATATTTGTCCTATGGGTGAATCCCCATTCTGGCGAATATAATAGTTAATTATGCTAACGATGTTTTATGGTTTGTTCCGGTTACTGGACAGCAAATTCAAGCGGGGGTGGCACCCCAAAATGGCCATATAGAATTCGAGGGGTTTTTTGATAATTCATGTGGTCCATTTACTCGGGGGTTTGGGGTCACCCGATTTCTCAGCATCATATCTTCCCAATCCGGATATTTCATTGATGTTCTGATCCAAAAGAGGCTCGGGATCACTTGAGCCCTAAAGGCAAGCTTGCAGCGGACGCCTTGTCGCAGACTCCGATCTCAGAGTTGAGAGTGTTCCAGCACAGGAACCACTTGGACCCAACAGAGGTGTTTAAACATATCTTTTTAACCAAACCTTTGCGTGGGGATCTCATTCTCACGAGCGGACCACCCAACTCACACATATATAATTGGCCAAAACATTCTACCAAGAGTTTTGGAGGTGAACCACCATTGACTTTGTAACACTCTGCAATCACTGTGTGTAGCGATAGCGAACCCTGAAGAGCGATACCTGTTCCCGGAATATGCTAACTCCCTATGATATGTTGTACATATGTTTTGGAAATACGTTGCTTTTAGAGCGATACCCAAACCGATACCAAACGATACCTGGAGCGATGGCTCACAAGTCCAGTCCTAGCCACCTCTCCATGTGTAGAGCCACAACTCACTAACATTACGTAGCAAAGAACTTGTCGAAGGCCTTTGCAATTGGTTGAAACAACGGCTTTCATTTGGGAGCTTCTAAGACGAACCACAAAGAATCCTCCGGGTTGAGACAGATTGTAGGGTTCGTTACTTTTTGATTGGGACTCTGGAACCTTGAACAGTGATAATACAAGCTGTCAGCAGAATGACTAGCATGTTTTGACAGCTGCGCACACACACATATCTCAACTCAAACACAGTAGGGGCAGCTTTTTGTTGGCAGTCCGTTTCTGTAGGACAGACATAGTGCCTCATGAAGAAGGGTTCTTCCTTGCCTTGTTTAGATCTTTCGGGTGGCCACATCAGTCCTCCTTTGAAGCTTTTGAAGTAGCGCTTCAGTCTGCGAAGCAATCTGGTGAAATCAGGGTACCCAAAAGCGTGAAACCATTGCTCCAACCGTCGGAACTCAGAATTTTGGTGACGTGCTGCTGGGGTCCCCGTCCGAAACCCTTCGGAGAACTTCAGCCATGTGTGACATCAGTGCAGCGTGGACCCAGCATGCTGTGTGCAGGCGTGCTGTTTGTCCTAGCGCTGTGCTCCCGGACTTGGGGCTTCCAAGACGTCGCTGATGCCTTGGCCTTGGCCTCTCGGAACTGCCCTTTGGGTGTAGTCTGACGCATGGGTCCGAAACAGGATCCCATTCCAGACAGGGTCATCATTGGGAGTGTAGTCTGTTGGACTAGTTGTTTTGATACATTGTCCATCCGCCTCAGTTTTGCGCTTTCCAATGCATTGTTTTGTGCTTTCCATACTTCATTTAGAGCATATCACTGCTTGTGTTAAACACGGAGCAAGCATGGTTTGAAAGATTGGAAGTAGGTCTATGTGACCTCCAACAGTGTAAAGTTCTTAGCGTTTATGTTCCTTTAGTTGTTCCTCTCAAAGAAGGGCAGCCAAATGGCACAAAAAAACTTCCGTGAATCTCGGAGGAGGGGAGACACCTTCTCAGTGCTCTGCAGGTCACGGTGCTGTTGGCTCACTCATTGATTCGCCGTGCGGTCTTGTCCATGCTGGCGAAGCGCATCTCCATGCACGTGCTGATGTCGCTGGGATGGTTTTCTTCGAGACCGGAGACCGGAAAGAACTGCTTGAAACTGCCTGGGAATTGGCCGAAAAGCATGCAGCATGTGTGTGAAACAGTGGAACATCGTCATGTTGGAACAAGCATGTGTGCTTTGCTTGTTTGGGGGTTCCAGAAATGGGCAGAGTTTAGAGCAATGGGAAGAATGCCAGAGAGATTCTGATATTTCTGCCTTGTGAGGATCCAAGAGGCTTGTATTGTTTTGGGGGATTGAGTAGTCCACGAGGTTCCAACAGGAACACACTCCAGGGTGCAGAAGCTGATGGTTCTCAAGCCATCACAACCCTTGAACAAAGGATTCACCTGATGGAACATAGCCCCCTGCAGCTAGCATTTCTTCCACAACTGCTGACCTCCACTTCCCCCGCCCATCCACCCATCCCCTTCCACCCCTTCCACCACCCTCTTCGTATATCCGGCTGTCGTCAGGTTCCTCGTGTTGCTGGGCTCGTTGTATCTGCAGCAGTTCACCGAAGCGGCCACCGTGGCCTTCCTGGTGAACGCCTCCGAGTGGATCGTGGGGAAGTCCCAACAGGCCGTGGAGCGGGAGCTCGGCAAGAGCCCCCTGGACGAGTCGGGACGGGCCGCACGAGGACGGTGCCGGGGGCCCTGAAAGGTCGGGCCGCCTGAGTGGGCGATGATGCTGCTGGGCCCTACGGGTTGGTGATTGTTGATTCATAGCATTGAAATGAGGTGATGACCCCTTTTTTGGGGTACTTGTGGATTCTTTTTTTGGGTTGCCTGCATTTGACACCTTTTCAATTACCCCAAGTGATCTGTTTTTGATGCCCAGTGCCAGTCAGGTCGTGTTGGCCCTGGGCCCCCCAAAAGCAGCTGCCCAAGACCTGAGGCCTCGTGGGCACCGCGAGCCACGCCACGGTGCTGACGCCCGCGCCCGAGCGGAGTCAACGCTCCGTGCTCATCGAGGAGTTGAAACCGAAAGATGTGGTGCTGCTCAAGACCGGTTCCTCGAAGACAGGTTCCGGCCGCCACGGTCGTTCCGACCGCCACGTCGTGGCCACGACGGAAGTCTCCGGTGGCGGCAGATGGAGGGTCGGAGAATTGCGCTGAGCGGGCGATGCGATGGGTGAAGCAACGAAGTGAAGCCTTGTGGGTTATCGATAGGGAAACAAGATACCAAGAAAACGTAGTACTTAGTACAGTACATGACAAAATGACGATCTTGTTGAGGAAGAGACAATGTTTTCCAGAAGTGTGTGTTTGGGATCTGCCGGTGCACATCTAGTAATCTAGTTTTCGAAGTTGCGAATAGAATGAATGAAGGGGCTTGTTTCGTCGCTTCTGTCCTTGTTTGGAACAAACGTCGCTGCCCACCGCCCCAAGGCAACACTGTGCCTACAGATGGTGTGCTGCTCAAGGCACAGGGCTTCACGGTGAACGAGGCCAGTGTCACTGGAGAGGCCTTACCAGTGGAGAAGTTCAAAGGTGAGAAGCTCTTGAGTGGCACCGTGGCCACTCGGCCCGCCTTGAACCGTCGTTGGTGGAAGAACCCCACCAGAGGTTGAAGAACCCTATAGACTATCCCGGTTGGGTACCCCAGTAAGGTCCTATAAGGTCACTTAACCTCTCTTGGTTTCGTGGAGAGAGCCATACCAGAAGGATGGTGCAGCATGGCTTGGCCGCGCATCGGCGCACATGGTTTGGATCTTCTGAAATGCGTGGTTTGAGGACGCAGGGCGTGTGCTGACTGGGGGATTCCAGACGGGCGCCCGTGGTTCTAGGAGATGCTGAAAGTAGACACATGTCTGGAATTGTCCTTCCCTAAGGATGCGGGCCCTCAAAAATAGGGTTTGGTTCGGGTAAAAAAAACCCTGCGTTTCGGTGTCGAGTCCGACCCCTGCCAAGGTGTCGAGCCCCTTCGGATTCTTCTGTCTTGGGACCCCGAGGTGACCGCGGGGGTAGCGGAGATGGAGTGCACCTCCAGTGCCAAGGAGTCCTTCCAGGGCAAGATCCAGGCCGGAAAGACCGGTGTAAAGCGACCAGAAAAGACGTCGAACAGACTGAGCTCAAAAGGGTGGTTTAAAGACTTATTTTCCAAAGGGTGGTGGTGGTGGTGGTGGTGGTGGTGGTGGCCGTAGAATAGTCTCATGACACGTGTTGCAGTCGTACGAGTGACGGCCATTTCCCAGGCCTACCCGATCGGATTTCGAGTGCATCGCTGTGGTGTTTTGTCCCAGGCAGCTGTTCAGGATGCTCGAAGTTCCAGGTCGGAGATGGAGGAGCAAGCGGCCGCGTCCGAAATGAGAAAGTGCTGCCAAGTTGGCAAAGGTTTGGTAGAGGGTGCGTATAAGTCTGAAAAGGATTCATGTGTTCTTCAACAGAGAGCTCTTGGGAGATGCAGTTGCGGAGAGGATCCATTGCGGGACGGACACCGGGTTCGTTGCTAAAACCACGCTTTCTGACTTCGTGAGGATTTGGTGAACCGCTTCGCAGAGATCTACACCCCGGTGGTGGTGCTTTTGTCTCTGGCTCTTGCACTTTGGAGCTCTGACCTCACACAAGGCCTTACAGTGCCCAGGTATGGCAAGAGGATGCAAGAGGAATGAGCAAAAGGGGACCACATGGCTTAGGCTTCTTCAGACCCAAATAGGCCGTAATTGGGGAGCGTTTGTGACCTAAAAGTTTGGATATCATGGATATAAGTAATGTCAGGGTCGATGTAGGTCCTACATGGAGTGTTTTTTGTTTGGTAAACATCAACGGGTCGCGGGGCATAGAGTTGTTTCTTTATCCATGTTGCGTCATTGCCCCTAAAACGGTTGTCGCACCCGGCTGGGGGAATAGATCCCTCAATGAATCAAGGAGAGTTCAATTTCACCACATCGGAGGGTTGGAATGCGTTGGATGCATGTTTTGGTTTGGAGCGAGTGAGATCCTGATCCAGAGGCCTCTTTTGTCCCACCTGTGCTGCTACACCATAGGACACCATCACCTTTGATTCAGGTTACAGATGTCTCACCTATAACAATGAGCATTTAGGCATCCTGGTGTCTCACCCTGGCGTCCTGGCTCATGAACCCCGAAACCATGAAAAGGCAGGTTTATATATTACATATATAGCTCAATAATTCGGGAAATGGGCGCGGAGTTCCCAGGCCAAACGCGTGCACTGTGACTCCGCGTCTATTGTTTGCATGCAGCGGGGTGGGACTGCTACAGGATTGTCATCCGACTGGCACTCCCAATGAAACATCTCAAAGCTCTTGGAAGCTTTGCAAACACTACAGTACCAGCTCGAATCTAGAGCCCTGTTCGTGAGCGCCAAAACTTCTTTCGTTTGACCAATGATTCTATGAGGTCAGAGCTGCCAAAACTCTTCCTGAATGCAAATCTATCTTACAGATGCTCGTTAACTTCTAATTATAGAGTTGGAACCTTTTATCATCATTAGAATCATTAGCAAAAGCACACACCAAACATTACATCATGTGCCGCTGTTTTGAATGGTTCTTTTCACTCGAACACCTGCATACCTCATCCCCTTCGTCTCAAGCTCCACGCGTGTCCCCCAACCGCCTCAGGTCTTGGTCTCCGCGTGTCCCTGCGCGGTGGTGGCCGCTGCCCCAGTGGTGCAGTCCTGCGCCTTTGTGCGGCTGCTTTCGGACCTTCAGGTGCTGGTCAAGGACCGCGGGTCTTGGGCGCTCGTGGTGGACCGAAGGACCGGGCCGGAAACAGACCGGCCAAGCACTTGGCATCCCTTTGTTGGTGACCAGAACTCCCTAGGTGCATCGTGGTGCGGCATTCCGACTATTAATGGTACATATATAGCTCCGTTGGACACCATAATATAACCTACCAAGGAACGACTTAAGTATTTGGTTGGATGCCAGTTTTGTCCTACATGTAGTCGTGTTATCCTAATTAAGTATTCAATATGTTTGAACAGTCACGGGAAATAGCCACAGATAGCCACAGATTCAAAACGTATTCAGCTGTTTAATTAATCGAAGGCCGAGAGTAAACCAAGACTTGGATGAGATAAACACATAGAAAAACGGTCGGCCTGCGGTAGGGCCCAAAAGTTGAACTTTGAACACGTTGTGCGACACCAGAGGCCTGCGGTCATGACTTTAACTTTGAAGCACGTGTCTAATATATACCAATATGATCCAATATGATCACAGTATGTAGCACTTGCACTAAGTAGAGCACATCGTCGAGCCCAGGACGCCCGGGCCTTGGATTGCTTCGCACATGTGGAGCGTTTGGGCACTGACAAGACCGGGACCTTGACGAAGGGCAGCTTCGAGACTCGTCACCATCCCCTTCCGTTCCCGCTCCGTTGTTGAGCTCGTTTGGGTCCGACAGGCGGTATTCTACCGGGAGCATTGTTCCGGTGGTGTCCAGCAACTGGTACTCCAAATGGTGCATTTTGGTTGCGGTGTTTTCTCAGGCTCTTTGGGGATGTGCTTTTCGTTGCGGGGTCCTGCCGACCGTTGGGTCCAGGACCCATGCCGGATGCAGGGACATGCCATGCCGGGCATACAGTAGGGCCTCAGGTGGGGGGGGGTGACCTCAGAGGTCGAAACCCCTGGAGGTCGAAGCCCAGTGGGCCAGGGGTCTCCCTACTGTTGATGGACAAAATCCTGCACCACCTTGCCACTTTACCCTGGAAGGGTCGCATAGCAACCCCCGCGCCCCGCATTCAATGTTGGCGAAACCCCTTTGAGGAGGTGGTGCAGGATTTTGGACATTCAACTTGTTTTTGTTTTCTCACTGTGGTGGCCCCAATTTTAACGAGGGAGAACGAGGGCAGCAAGAAAAGTGTGCGCAAAGTGGTGCAGGATTGTGTCCATCAACAGTATGACCCTATGACTGTAAAATACGCATAAGGTTTGATGGAGAGAACCAGCCGAACAATGGTCAGATGTCCCGTCGTTGGCCAGTTGTTTATCCTCCCAGTGATGGTTTGTATCTAAGGAGCTGGCAGATGTCGTGGTGATGCCAGGCCAAAGCGAAAGGAGGCGATGACTTGGGCATCCCGTAGTTGGCTCTCGCACAAAGGTCCATTCCAGTCATTTCCATGTGTTCAATGGAGGGTCAACGAAGCTTTCATACCTGTGTGGGTCACAGGGTCTTATAGTTATTCTGAATGATTCTATGAGGATTGCCTAGGGCATCCTAGGGCACTAGGCTTGAACATCATTGTGGCCAGACGAGGAGGAGGTGGAGCATCCAATGATTTAAGCCCCCCCCAGCTTGCACGCTATCATGTCCTTACAAGATAGCTTCAACACACATCGACATATTTTGTGTGAACATTTGGCATATATTTTTTAATATAGCTACGTTACTGTACCTACCATTTGATGGGTGCTGTGTTTCAAACAGTTCGAGCAATTCCCAGGCACACCGACATAGTTCTATGAACGATAGAGTTGAACACATCGCTGAGAAAAAAAACAGATAAAACACATTTAAACACACACACACACACGCGCACACACACACACACTCTGACATTGGTTTTTCAGTTACACTCAGTTCCCACGTTGAGAAGGAAGGCGATGGAACGGCATGGTGAAAGGTCCAAAGACTTGAAGGTGTTTTAACATTGAGGTTTCTCATCTGCAGTGGTGCGACGACGACGCGCGCGAGCGGCGAGGGAAAGGGTTTAGGGGAAATAGCATGAACCACCATGGAAACAAACAAAGAAAGAGTGGAGTGACAGCTTGTACAACAGTTCGGCAGGTACGTTTGCAGCCCCCCCC